TGCGTTAAGGGCAACAAATGCTAGCTAGTTTTTAGGTGTCTTACCTATCCTCATCCCTTCCTGTGTGCTCTCGCTTTTATCATGTGCTCATAGTCCAATCCCCTTGTTGTGTTTGCCCTTGATCTAATGTCCACATATGAGGGAGAACATACGATTTTTGGTCTTTTGGGCCAGGCTGACTGACTAACCTCACTTAGAATGATGTTCTCCAATTCCATCCATTTACTAGCGAATGATAACATTTCGTTCTTCTTCATGGCTGCATAAAATTCCATTGTGTATAGATACCACATTTTCTTAATCCATTCGTCAGTGGTGGGGCATCTTGGCTGTTTCCATAACTTGGCTATTGTGAATAGTGCCGCAATAAACATGGGTGTACAGGTGCCTCTGGAGTAACCTGTGTCACAGTCTTTTGGGTATATCCCCAAGAGTGGTATTGCTGGATCAAATGGTAATCGATGTCTAGCTTTTTAAGTAGCCTCCAAATATTTTTCCAGAGTGGTTATACTAGTCTACATTCCCACCAACAGTGTAAGAGGGTTCCTTTTTCCCCGCATCCTTGCCAACACCTGTTGTTGGTGGTGTTGCTGATGATGGCTATTCTAACAGGGGTGAGGTGGAATCTTAGCGTGGTTTTAATTTGCATTTCCTTTATTGCTAGAGATGGTGAGCATTTTTTCATGTGTTTTCTGGCCATTTGAATTTCTGTGAAGAGTTTTTTTGAGATAGGGTCTTGTAAACCATTTGCCTGGGCTGGCTTCAAACTGCGATCCTTCTGATCTCTGCCTCCTGAGTAGCTAGGATTACAGGTGTGAGCCACTGGTGCCTGGCTGAAACGATAAAAGGAATTCTTTTGATTTCTGTGGCATGTCAACTTCCCAAAATTGTCACTGGAATTACCATTATTTAAGGATATCTGGATATGAATTATATGTGATTCTGTAGGCTCTGCCAATCCATTTCTTCAAGAAGACATTTGTCGTTGCTTTGGTCATGATTTAATAACTGAGAAAGTGGAAAATACTCAGAAAAACATTTCTTTTTGTGAGTGGATAACTTAATCTGATCCAATGATTACTTATACCTTTCATAATCATTTTGGTGTCATTCTTGAAATTATTCTTTATATCTTAGTTTTGACTTTTTTGTATAGCAACTTTTTAAGGACTGGGAAATTGGAATTTGATTTCTCTTCAATCTTTTATTCCCCACAGTAATCCTAGCACCTTTATTATTCTCACAAAGATACTGTTACCTTTGCACGACCCTTCATTAGACTCATTTCTTCCTAAGCTGACAAACTCGAAACTGTTCATCCTACTTTTGGTAATCTCCTGATTGCTATAGAATATAGAACAGTATTTTTAGCTTTTTGGAGGTGAATATGGACCCTGTTGCTAGTCTACTTTTTAAAAAAATCATGGATCTTCTACCCAGAAAAATATGTATTTTTACATAGAGGATTTATAATAGTGTAGTAGAGTTAAATAGCTGAAACCTTTGTAACTCCTCAGAACATGAACTACCTAACACTGATAACAGGGCTGGTGAGTGGACCAAGTGGTAGAGCACCTGCCTACCAAACATGAGGTCCTGAGTTTAAGCCCAGTACCACAAAAGAAGTCAAAATTGATAACAGACACAAATAACTAGTAAAACATAGACAAGGATATCAACTGATAAATAATTGATTTTTTTATATTCTAGAGGTGGTATTAGTGGGGGTTTTTTATTGTGCTGGGTGGGGGGTACATTGTGGCATTTACATAAGTTCTTACAATGTATCAAATATATCATACTTGATTTCACTTCCTCCATCATTCTCCTTACACCCCTCTCCCCATTCCTGGAATAGTTTCTCAACAGGTTATCATTTTTCCATTTATGTACATGTGTATACAGTATTTACACTATATTCACCCTTCCACCTCCTCCCCCCTTGATATTTCTTTAGAGTTACATGTTATAAAGAAAATGGGAAGGGAAAAGTTCTCATCTTCAAAATGATTTAGCAAAAGACATTGCAAATATATAAAAATAAATTTTCTTATATTATAAAATTAGATAATTAAAAGGTTGAGCTGTTGAGATTTCAAGACTGCAGTAGAATAAAGGCTGAATTCTTAATCCATAGGCTGCAATTTAGATATGAGGCAGGTCCTGTAGGCAGAAATCCAGTATACAGAAATTGATGATGTACTGGCTCAATTAAGGAGACCTTTAACTTATGTGCAGTTGTTATTTTCTCTAGTATCATGCATAACCATCAAAGAACCAACCTATTGGTGGCCCTGGGATATCAGAGCTCCAGAAACTTGCAGTCTTACCACTCAAACTGTTCTTTTATTGATCAACAGATTGATTTTTTTCCCTTTGTCCATGCTGGAGTTTGAACACAGAGCCTTGTACTCGATAGCAGGCACTCTTAACACTTGAGTCACACCTCCAAACCCTTAATTGGTTTTTGTTTGTTTGGGGATTTTTTTTGAGACAAAGTCTTGCTATGTATCTCAGTCTGGCCTGGAGTTTACTGTGTAGCCAAGGTTGGCCTTAAAGTTGAGATTCTTCTGCTTCAGGCTTTTGAGTGGTGTAATTACAGTCTGGCACCACCATTTTTCGCTCAGGTGTTCTTGATTGTGAGCCATCTCTGACCGTATTATAAATATCTGGGTGATTGACTTAGTTTTCTTCCTTGTTATTTTGTGTCTGGCATAGGCAGCTTGTGTGAGGATGTGACTTAAATATTTTACATCTTTTAAAGACTAGATGGCCTATACTTGTGAGAGGTTCTATGTAAAAGAGACTTGTTTATATAATAGCTTATAATAATCATAATAGGTATGGCCAAAAACTTCACATGTATATATGGTATGCTTTTATCCTGAAAAACAGTTAAGTGTAGTTCAGGCATCACCCCCCTCTGTGAAGCGTTTCCTAATTCTTCCTATCTTACCTCCCAGAATTGGCCACTTCCTTCTTTTTTCACTGCATTTTTTTTTTTCTTTGGCTGTACTGGATTTTGAACTCGGCCTCATGCTTGCTAAATTAGGTGCTCTACCACTTGAGCCACTCAATCAGCCCTCTTCACTGCATTTTTAACAGTCTATTCAGTTAATCTGTCTATACTAAACTATAAACTTGCTGAGGATATAGCCTATATCTTATTTCTGTAATTTCTAATGTCATGTACATAGAAGCACTCAGAAAATGTCTAATGAATAAGTATGAATTGTGTATTTAAGAATATAAAACTGAACATGGTGTGCATGCCTGTAATCCTAGCACTCAGGAGTCTGAGGCACTAGGAATGAGAGCTCCAGGCCAGCCTAGACTACATACCCAGACCCTGCCTCAAAAAAAAGAAAAGAGCCAAAAATAGGGGCTGATGTTGTAGCCACTGGTGGAGTGCCTACCTAGCAAGCTCAAGGCCCTGAGTTCAAACTCCAGTCCTGAAAAAAAATAAGCAATAAAGGTAGCAATTGAAAACTCAGATACTTTCAGAGTCCAGGTATAAATGAGTTAAACAGACCTGGTAGGGACTGTGGTAACCTGGATAATGCACCTTACATATAAAAGGAGCTACTGCTACTCAGCTCCATCCCATTGGTGCCTTTGGGAAATGCCACATCTTAATTTTTTAAGAGACGCCATTTGAGTTTTTATGCAAACTCTCCCAATTGTTAAATGTTGTCAGCTAAGTTTTTTAAAAGCTTTTTATTGAGATATAATTTATATAGAGAAGTGTATATATTTTGGGTATAGTGCTCAATTTTTACAAGCTGAATTCATGTGTGCTGAACAAAGTAGGTTGACTTGCAAGCTATCAGTTTGCAACTTGTAACTAAGGCCATATGGATAAATTGTGTAGTTTAATTAAGAATCACCTCATATCTGGGTATGGTGACCCATACCTGCTTTGGGGAGGCAAAGGCAGGAGGACTGAAAGTTTGAAGCTAGCCTGGGCTACATAGTAAGACCCTGTTTCAAAAAACAAAAGAATCACCTTATAGGTAAAATTGCCTGAAGGAGACTCATTAGCTGAACGCTAATGAGCCAAAGAATCAAATATAAAAACATTTATGAAATAATTTGGGAAATTCGAATCTTGACTGGCTGTTTGATAATACTAGAACATTATTGTTATTTTAAGTGTGATACAGTTGGGTTTTTAAAGTAGGTTTTATTTCATTTTTCAAGTAGACATTTTTTTCTTTGATGTTACTAGGATTTGAACTCAGGGCTTTGTTTGCACTTGCTAAGCAGGTGCTCTATAGCTTGAGACATACCTCCAGCCCAAGACTTTTTTAGGGTAGTTTTAAATTGGAGTGGAAGTTACAGCGTGTTCCAATATACTTCCTGACTCTACTTTCAGCATTCTACACCAGAGTAGTGCATTAGTTCTATTAATTGAACCTACATGAATAAATCATTATTCCAAATGTATAGTTTGTATAAGAGTTCATTTTTTGGCATTGTACATTCTGTTTTTTGACAAAAGTCTAATGACATGTATCTACCATTATAATGTATGGCATTATAACGTCACGCATAATTATTTTTTGGCAGTACTGGGGTTTTGAACTCAGGACCTTGCACTTGCCATGTAGACACTACCAGTTGAGCCATATCCCCAGTCCTAATTTTTAAAAGCATCCTTAAGTGACACATACTACACAATTTATGTATGAAATTACATGATGCTGAAATTTGCTTTAAAATGATTTGTCAAGGGCCTGGAAAGTTGAGTATAAATGAAACAAGATTGGCCATGTGTTGATAATTGTTGGTGCTGGCTGATAGGTACATGGGAGTTCATTATATTAGTGTAATTTTATGTGTTTGAAATTTTCCCTTTCTAAAAGTAGAGCAAAAGACCAAGTTAAAGCTGAAACAGTTTTTCTGAGTCTAGGATAATGGACATACTGCTAAGTGACAGAATGTACAATTCTGGAACTGAAGTTTGCAAAGGTAATGGCATTTTCTTATTTCATTTATAGGGCCTGAGAGTCAGTACACTAAGACTGCTCAGGAGATTGTAAACATCTGCTACCAAACATTAACTGAGGTAGGTGGGTGGTAAAGAGGAGGTTCCTCTGTGATCCACCTCTCTGCAATCCTCTGTTGTTCCTTTGAGTGAGGAGATTTTCGTGACTGTCCTAAAATGTAACATCCCACTCTACCCTCACTCTATATGCCCTGTTTCTTTCTCTGCTTTATTTATCTAGATTATCATCTGTGTTCTGCCACTTAAGATACTGAGACTATTTATGTGCCATAAAGACAGGGATATTTTTTTGTCTGCTTTGTTTACTTTACTTTTTTTTTTCTCACAATACTGAGATATGAACTCAGGGTTTCATACTTGCTGTACAGGCACTCTACTGCTTGAGACACATTTCCAGCCCTATTTTGTTTATTTTGTAATTACCAGTTCCCAGAACACCTGTTGGATTAATTCATTAATTTTCTTTATTCCTCAGTATGATGAGCATTTGACTCAACTTGAGAAAGATATTTGTACAGCTAAAGAAGCAGCTTTGGAGGAAGCAGAATTAGAAAGCCTGGACCCAATGACTCCAGGGCCCTACACACCACAAGTGAGTCTAAGGAGTATGAACTTCCTCTTGTAATTTTCTTATTGGTTTGGGAAATTGGGAACCTGTTAACAGATCTGTTTACTGAGATACCATTCTTCTCTGTCCTTCTTCTTATGCCTTTCGTGTGCTTTCTTGTCTTCTCAAAGGCTAAGGTGAGTGAGGGCCATGGGTCTTGGTGGCCTTGTGGAATCCAGAAGAAGCAACTGTGGGATGAATGAGTGGAGTGGGGTCTTAGTTGTTGAGGCAGAATTTTGGGGAATACTAAACTCTTCACCATTATAGCTAGAGGCATCCTCCAAATCTCTGATTCTCTTCATAAATTTTGGGGTTCTAGAGTATCCCATAGAGTGTAGGTTGCTTTGTTATAGACATGGGCTACATTGTTCCTGTGCCTTACAGATGCCTCATTATTCATTTCCTTAGAGGAGGTATCTTAGTGTAGTTTACATGTCACCCATTTTCCTAAATTGACTCCCTCACCTAGTAAATGAAGACAGGTAATATTTAAAATATTCTTACGATTACATGTCAGGAGACAAGAGTACATGATGAGTAAGAATTTTTAGTCTTTCTGGTCTGAATAAATCATTGAATATACTAAGAGTTTATTTCCTCTGTATTATACTCAAAGAATAGAACTTAAACACAATATAGCAAGTTATTGGTTTCTGTATTAGCGACACTGTGGTGGAGTAGAAAGTACATGAGATTTGATGTAAAACAGGCCTGGGTTGAGTCTTAGCTCTGCTACTGTCTAGTTTTTTGATCTTGGAAAGTTAGCTTCTCTAACTCAGTTTCTTTTTCTTAAAATCTACTTTGAAGATTATTGTAAACATCAAACGAGTTAGTTTGCCTGGCACATAATAAACATTCAGTAAATGTGTTTCCTACTCTGTTTGACAGTTGTCTGTAAGGTCCCTAGAGGCTCTTTCAAATTTAATGAAATATTTTAATGCAGAATTCTTCCAATTCCCATATGAATTTTTTTTATTCTACTCAGGTTCCAGTCTGAACTTATAATGCAACATATGTGATCTCTGTTGGATTATTGCTGTCTGTGTCTTATTCGTGTACTTTCTCTATCTATCTTTTACTCTCTCTTTCATCCCAAAACCTAGGTTACTGAGGGGCCAGGTATAAAGAACCCTCAGATACTTCTTCAAGGATCAGAACAAGGAAAGGCTCTTGGAGTATGTGGGCAGATTGGGTCAAGGGGGCTTAGGTGAGTGATTTTGCCCAGAAAGACCCTATTTGCTAATAGGCCCACAGCTTCCACAAGGTACTTTCTGGTAAGTCAAACCTTGGGTATCAGTCATCATTCTCCAGAAGAGTCCAGCCACTATGTGGCACATGGGTTGCTCAGGTATAGGATAGACCTAGGATAGTCCTTTGGTGAGTGGAAGCCTTGGACTCAAAGTCATCTTCCTTTCTCCCCTACATTCCTCCCATACTACCTCACACGGCGGAGGAAAGCCTGTCAACTATTTTCCTTTCTGAATGGTGGTAGTTATTTGTTACGCTTAGAGGGTTTCTTATGAAGAGCACGGTATGCGTAGTACTGCTTAATTTTTTCAGTTTACCCTCTCATCATTCATTTCTCTCATATATACACATTTTAAGTTAGTCAACCCACCTCATTATCTCTTAACATAAGGAAGATGCATATGAGTAATTATGTTTGCCCATTATTATTTAAAACTCGAATATTATCAAAAAGTGTTTGTGTAAGTTTAGTCCGTCATAATACAACTTTGGTTGTATAGAAGTATGATAGTTACCATGTTACTTTCAATTTCTACATGGTGGTAGTCAGTAATGTATTTTCACTTGAATATTTCCACCTGGCTTGTAATTGCATCATACATTTATCTGAATACTTTAAAGCTGTTCACTTTGCAGTTTCCCACAGTCCATCCTTTGCACACTAGGCTTTAAGATTTTGCAGAAAGTCTCTTATTTTCCTTTCCTCTGTTCCATTCTGGTTATCTGCTCTGTAATATTTTGAATTCTGTTTTGCCTCTCTTTCTCTAAAACCTTCTTCTCAATCAGTCTTGTTTGCTTTTTAAAACAAAGTAAAACATACATGGGGTTTTTGTTTATAGGCTAGGCTGGCCTTGAACTTGGGATCCTCCTGCCTCAGCCTCCTGGGTGCTGTAATTTCAGGTGTGCACCACCATGCCTGGCTCATGTGGGTTTTTTATTGATTGGAAAATACAAATAAGAAATGAATTACTTTTCATTTTCATCACTCAGAAAAAATATTGACCACTATGAATATTTTGGTATATTTTTTCATATCTCTGTGTGTAAACACTTAAAATTGATAAATATGGTTTTGTCTTACTCTTTTCACTTTGCTATATTATGACCACTTCATCTAGTTGCTCCTTTTCACTGTATTGTCCATTGGCTAAATCTCTGTCCTTTTCAAGGGAGATAGAAAGGAAGGGATCTATAATTTATTAAGTACCAGGTATTAGGGACACATATCTCTTAATTCTCGCAACAAACCTGTGAGGTAGATATCATCCATGCTTTACAGTTGAAGAAACCAAGGGTTAGAGAGATTAAGTAATTTGTTAAAACTACTCAGCAAGTGGTAGAGCCAAGACTCAAACCCAGGGCAGTTTACTCCAAAGCCCATGGATTTTCAATACACCATTTTGCTTTATAGTATCTTCTGACAGGCTCAAGGACTATCAGACTGTTCCCTGCTCTTGTTGGAATTGAACTTATTAATCTTGTTTCCTTTTATATATTTCTAAATCAAACAAAATAGCCCTGGGCCTAAAAACAATAATACAAGGCTTAGAAGAAAGTAGGTTATTGACCAGAAGCTGTTAAAAAATAAAATTATCCCTTAGATTTTTATGTGTTTCTGCTTTAGGCTTCTGAATTTACACACCAGATACCTATCTGCCAGAATAGCCAACATTTGTAAGACTCCAAAAAATGTATCCATAAAGCTGTGCCATTCTGTTTTCTCTTTAACTGAATTGCTCTGCATGATCTTTTTCTGCAGTGAATGGTTTAAAGAGGAGTTTGTATTTCTTATTCCTTCCCCTGGTAGAAGCTAAATTGTGTGTTTTGTGCCACAGCCTCCTGATTTGTATGATACCAACACATCCCTCAGTATGTCTCGAGATGCCTCCTCTGTATTTCAAGATGAAAGCAATATGTCTGTCCTGGATATTCCCACTGCTACTCCAGAAAAGCAGGTAACACAGGTAGGATGTTCTTTCTCCTTATGAGATTGATAATATGCCTAGAGGGTGAGGGGTGGAGGAATGGAGAAGATGTGATATATGGCATATAGCAAGGATGACTAGGCCCCTTGGCCCTGGGAATTAAGGTGTGAAAATAGGATTTCTATTGAGGGGTGGCAGGTCACATGAATGACATTGTCTTCTGCCTGTTCCAATGGACAGAGTCAAGGACAGCAGAACTTCAGGGAAAGTACAAGTGTATAAGTGTATGAAGCATCAGAGCAACTAAACAGGTGACTAGAAAGACCTGTCTCTGCATTCAAGAGACAGAGTTCACAACATCTGGCCTGCTACTTTATATTCATTACAATCTAAATTAAAATCATTTATAAAATTAAAATTTAAATGTCACCATTTTTCAAGAGGTATTAGAAGATATTTCTGATCTGAAACCAGATTATTCTATAGCTATTCTTAGTTAGGGTTCCATTAGAAAGTGCAAAATCCAGGTTTTTTGTTTTGGTTTTTTTTCTATCTCAAAGGGTCCAGCATAAGCTATAACCAAAGCTTGGAATAGAAAGGAAACGTAGTGATAATACAGTAAGAATAAACCAAAGACCTTCTTGTTCTTTGTTTTTTTGACCCTGGTTGTGATTTTCAAAGAATGACTGGGGAAAAATGCACATGCCCTGAGCTGTGTAAACAGCCCCCACTAGCAGTGGGGTTTGCTGGGATGTCAGGGAGGAGCATCTGTCCTGGGTGAAGAACCCTTGGTTAACTCCTCCTACAGGCACGTCCCTCAATGATGTGCTATTTGTGTTCCTTACTCAGATGCGCCAGGGCCGAGGTAAGCTGGGCGAGGAAGACTCTGATGTAGATATTGAAGGGTATGATGATGAGGAGGAGGATGGGAAACCTAAGACTCCAGCCCCAGTGAGTATCCTTACAGAAAGCTTATGGTTACATTATACCTTTAATTGATAGGAGCCCCAACAGTACAGGGCAGGCCAAATCCCAAGGTGATATCAGAGGGTCTCCACAGTGAGCCCCAGTCTGACTTTAATCCTTGGAATGAGCTAAAAAAGTCTATCCACCAAAATTACTTAACTTGTGAGGCAGCAAGCAGGGGGGTTGGTACAGGGTGGGTAGTGGCTTCTGGTCTCCTGGTCAGTTGATGGAACTCTGACCCTTTCTGGTCTCATTTAGGAAGGTGAAGATGGAGATGGTGATCTTGCAGACGAAGAGGAAGGAACTGTGCAACAGCCTCAAGCCAGTGTCCTGTATGAGGATTTGCTTATGTCTGAAGGAGAAGATGATGAAGAAGATGCTGGGAGTGATGAAGAAGGAGATAATCCTTTCTCTGGTAAGTATAGCTCCTTTCCTGCTACTCACTCTAACACCCTCAGGACTGAATAAGAAGTTCTTGTCCACATATGCTGTTATCAAAAGCTACCTCATTTATTGAAGTCTCATTAAATCAACCTAAGTACTCAGAACTCACTCCTATAATGATCATATCTCTTAGCCTGAGAAGAAGTGAAGAGCCAAATGCTAGTGACTTTTGCCTGTAATCCTTGCTACTCAGGAGGCAGAGATCAGGAGGATCAGGGTTCGAAGCCAGCCTTGGCAAATAGTCGCTGAGTGGCATAAGTGGTAGAGCGCCTGCTTAGCAAGTGTGAGGCCCTGAGTTCAAACCCCAGTACCACCAAAAAAAAGAAGACACACAAAACAGGAGACACACAAGATGACAGTGGAGGAACTAGGAATGTAGCTCAGTGGTTTAGGTTTGCCTAGCATGCATGAGGCCCTGGGTTTGATCCCCAGTACTCCAAAAAAAGAAAAAAAAAAAATGACAGTGGAAAAGGCATTGCCCAAGTATCAGCTTTGACTTGGGTACTTGCTAAAGATGAGAATGAAATGTTAGGTTTAGCAACGGGGAAGGAAAATTAAGAAAAAGATCCTGCTTATGGTTTTCTGGTTTAATTGCAGTGGTAGAGGGAAAATTTTAGAGGTGATGGAAAGCAGGTAAGTTAGACTGATTTGGGTTCAGATTCTAAACTATTGATCTTGCCACTGTTGACCCTACATAGTTACAGGACAGGCCTTTGAGGTGAGGAATACAGGCATGATGCCTATGTAGATGTTTAAGAGGAACTAGTTTTAGAAGACCAAGCTAAGCCAGTAATCCTAGCTACTCAGGAGGCAGAGATCAGGAGGGTCACAGTTCAAAGCCAGCCCAGGCAAATAGTTTGCAAGACTGTATCTCAAAAAAACCCATCACAAAAAAGGGCTGGTGGAGTGGCTCAGGGTATAGGCCTTGAGTTCAAACCCTGGTACCACAAAAAAACAAAAATAAGATGACCAAACTAAAGATGTTAATTCTGTCAAGCATTTCTCCTTTCTCCCCCCTTTTCTATCTCTTGGTGCTGAGAATCATGCATACTAGGCAGATACTCTACCACTGAGCCACACCCTCTCAGCCCATCAAGCTTATCTGATACTGAACCAGAATCTGTCTTTTTACAGCTATTCAGCTGAGTGAAAGTGGAAGTGACTCTGATGTGGAATCCAGCAGTATAAGACCCAAACAGCTCCGCATGCTTCAGGAGAACACAAGAATGGGCATGGAAAATGAAGAAAGCATGATGTCCTATGAGGGAGACGGTGGGGAGGCTTCCCATGGTTTGGAGGATAGCAACATCAGGTAATTGGCAGCAACATGCTACAGGGCTGTGGCATCAGTGCCATCTATAATGTCAAAGGGCCCAGCATCAGATTGCTTTCATCCATCAAACATTTCCTAAGCACCTATTAGGGCCAGGAACTATGCTAGGTCATAGGGATACACAGAGGAACAAAACGTATCTATTCTGCCCTTGAGGATTTCTAGTAGAAGAGACTGACACAAACAAATCATTATAATGTCATGAGCTGGGTGTGGTGTTACATGCCTGTAATCTCAGCATTTGGAGGCTAAGGCAGGAGGATCTCAAGTTTGAGGACAGCCTGGGCTATATAGCGAGACCCTGTCTCAAAAAAAATCACCCCCCCCAAAAAAAAGAAAAAACAAATACAATGTCATAGTGCTAAAGTTTAAGCAAGTCAAAGTGCCTACGTACCACAGAGGAGAAACTGTCTCTTCTGCTTGAAGAAATGAGGGCAAGTTTCACAGACAAGGGAACATTTGAATTGAGCCTTAAAAGGATGAATCGGAGTATACTAAGCAGATATTACGGCAGCGGGTGGGTAGGTTGTTTACAGATGAAGTAAGTTCAAAGGCACAGAAACAAAACATAAAGCATGTTCCAGAACAAAAAAGGAGATTGTTGGTAGCAAGAGATTATATTGTGGAGGACCCTTAAATGACATGCTAAAACATTTGGATTTTGTTCTGTGAGGAATCCTCACTTACGATGTGGTAGTCACACCTATAAGCCCAGTATTCAGAAGACTGAGACGGAAGAATCCTGAGTTAAAGACCAGCCTGGGCTGTCTGGTGAGACCCTGTCTCAAAAAAAAAAAAAAAGAATATCATATTTGTGTGATAAATAACTTTAAGATAATATAAGACAGATGATGAGGATATCAACAGGAATCTGACTAGAGGAGGGGAGAAATGAAGGGACATATGTACTTAATAGCTATTTAGAATGTAGATCAATTTGATTTAGGAGATTAGGAGGTCAGATAAATAATAAATGGGAATGGCATTGAGCGAGGAAGAGGAAAGAGGTATTAACCTGAGGTAGAAAAGGAGAGTAAAAATGAATTTGCCTTTGGGCATGTTGGTTTTAATGTACATATGATATATCTAGCCAGCAAGCAGTTTAGAGTCTTTTATTTATGCATTTGGCAAGTATCATAAATACAAAAACAACTAAGATGTAGCTCCTTTCTTCAGAGAGCAGGAAACAGGTAATCGTAGTATAAAATGAAAATTGTAACAGGCACCCACAGGGTTTTTCTGGAACTCGGAGAGGGGTTTGGGGAGGTGAGCTGATTACAGGAGGAAACTGAGCCAAATATGAATAGTAATGAGCTAGATGAAGAAGAAAGCAAGGATATTTTAGAGACCACGAAGAGCATGTGTGAAGTCCCAAAGTATGAAACAGTTTTAGAGAACACAAGTAGTTGAGTGTGGCTGGAGCTTTTGACTGATCCCTATAAGATCCATTATCCATATAATAGAAATTATTTAAAGAGGTAGCTAAAGATCAAATTACGAAGATCCTGAATGTTTAGGCAGGCATTGAATGAGAATAGTGTGATCTGATTTACATTTTAGAAAGATTACTGTGTACCCGAAAAGAAAAGGGGGCAAAAGACAGGAGCTAATAATTCAAAAAAGAAATGCAAATGGCCAGTAAATATATGTAAAATATATTAATGAAGTGCAGTTTTTTGCCTATCAGATTGATGAAGATTAAAATAAATGATAACATAATGCCCAGTGTTGGAAAGGAAAAAAACATTCCCAAACTACTAGTGGTAATGTAAATTGATAAAATAGGGTGGATGGGAGAAAGATAATAGCAGTTTATCAGTACAAATAAAAAATTTAAAGGTGTATCTTCTTTGGCTCCCAAATTCCATATCTAGGAAACTATTCTATAGGAATAATAAAACACCTTCATTAAAATGGTAGTATAAAAATGTTTATCACAGTATTGTTTCTAATAGTAAAAAAATTGGAGACAGCTTAAATATCCAAGTAAGACACTGTTAAATATCATATTACACCCATGCAGCAGAAATTCCATGCAGCTATTAAAATCATGGCATTGGCATATGTTAATTGACACAGAAAGATGTTCATTATAATCATTAGTGGAAAAATCAGATTCCTGAAGAATAGAGTATGTTACTTGTAAATAAAAACTGTTTAAGCATCTATATGTATAGAAAAAATTGGAAGGTCAAATGCCAAAAGATTATCTTTGAATGGTACAGTTATTGATGATTTTTTTCTTTTTTGGTGTATGTTCTAATTTTTTTTTACCAGTGAAAGTACATTATTTGTGTGATTTTTTTTAAGTAAAATTAAGAATAAACAACAAACAAAAAATAAAGAGCACTCTGGCAGAAGTATGAAGAATTAATTGGAGAAAAGCAAGACTAGAGGCTTTGAAGACTTACTTCAGTAGTACAGCAGAGATTAACAAAGGCTAAGCCAAGGCAGGCAGAGTACAGATGGAAAAGAGGATATTAGAGACAAGATATATTGAAATGAGAATCTTCAGGACTACTGACTAATTTCTAATATATAGGTGAGTGAAACTGTGATAGATGAAACAGTAGGCTGTCAGCATTTGTGGTCATGTTAGCTGGTAGTGTGCGTTGTTCGGGTGTAGAGGAGTTTCATTCAGGTTCTTGTGTATATGAAGTTGGCATAGTTGATGTCTTTGAACAGGATCATTTTTCTCTCAGGGACTTGTAGAACAGTCCAGAACCAGTCACATTAGTGTCCAGGGGAGGTGAGATGGGTTGATCCCTTAGTGGTGCTGAGAATGGGAATGTCAGCTAGAGGATGGTGCCCAAGATTGAGAAATGACATGTTTCTCTTCTCAGTTACGGGAGCTATGAGGAGCCCGATCCCAAGTCGAACACCCAAGACACAAGCTTCAGCAGCATCGGTGGGTATGAGGTATCAGAGGAGGAAGAAGATGAGGAGGAGGAAGAAGAGCAGCGCTCTGGGCCGAGTGTACTAAGCCAGGTCCATCTGTCAGAGGACGAGGAGGACAGTGAGGATTTCCACTCCATTGCTGGGGACAGTGACTTGGACTCTGATGAATGAGGCTTCCTTTGGGCCTCCTTGATCAGCCTTCCCTGTTCTCCAGCTAGGTGGTTCACCTTTGCCCAATTTGTTTCTATTTGTATGGTCTCTAATCCTGAAATCACCAGATGAACTAACACCTTATCCTTTAACAATAAGTAAATGATAATATTTCACCTTTCCTGATCTTGTTGCGGCAGTGTCACCCATTGACCTAAAACAAAGCAACTAACTTCCCTTTACTGCTACCAAGAAGAGAGCTCAAGCTCATGCTTCTCCAGTGCCCTTTTTTAATGCTATTTATTGCTCTTGGCCTAATATTTCCCTAGGGAAGGAGAAGAAATTATGAAAGGACAAATAACTTTATATTCTCCATGTACTAGAAATCTTCTTAAGCATGGTGTCATTTCATTTTCTAATTTGCAGGCTGGAATAGGTGAGAACTCCCCTGATGAAACAGAGAATTAGGTTCTGGTGGGCTCAGTGCCATACTTAAAGAAACCTTTTTAGAGAAACTGCTCATTAATTAATTAATTAATTAATTAAATTAATTATGCAATGCCCTGTTCCTAAATGGATTTGAGGCAAATGACTATAAATCTGTGAAACAGCCTGTATATCAGAAATGATATGTTGCCATGTAAATGTGTTCTGTCCCTCCCCACCAGGGGAAATGTAGGAAAATGGTAAGTTCCTTAGGGCAAAGACTGTCTTCTGTTTCTTTTCATGCTTAGAGTATGATTGTGTGCAAAGTAGGTACTCAGTAATATGTTCCTAGAATCATAAAATTCTCAAGCGATAAGTTACTGAGTATCTGCTTCATGATATCCGATCTTTAGGATATAAAGGTAAATAAGACACATCCCTTTTACCCAAAGAGCTCACCATCACATTGGGGGAGGGGAGGGGAATTCTAAACATGTTAATAAATCATTATAGAATTGTGAGATAAGTGCAATTAAGAAACTAGCTATAACGTGTAGGGGAAAATAGAGAAGTGATCACATTTGAAAAAAAGTCAGGGAAGTCTTTCTAGAGGCAGTTTTTAAGCTGACTATGATGAATTAATTAGTAGCAGCTTGCCAGATGGAAAAGTCCAGGCAGAATGTAACATGAATTGAAAAGGCCAAAATCTAGAAATGGCAGAGTGTGTTCCTAGTTTGTTTGTTTGTTTCTATCTGCCTTGTTTCAGAAAGGAAATTAGGTGGTTTATGTTCCAGTCTTTTAATGCTGGAATGGCTTGAGAAGAGACTGAAAGATGGGCAGAAAGCATATAATCATGAGCTTTGAATTAATAATAATGAATGAATTTTATATTATGAGAAATGAAGTCTAGAGGAGTGATAAAATCAGATTTGTGTTTTAGAAATTTTCTGTACTGAATGAAGAAAGAAATTGAAGAATATGTAACAAACATGTATGATCCCATTTTTGTAAAAGACAAAATCGTGTGTATATTTATATGTGCTTATATATACTTGTATATGCAAAGGAAAAGGTGTGAAATGATATATGCTAAATTGTTCACACTGATAACCTTTGGGAAATCAGAATGGAGGGGAGTGGGTTTATGTGGCTCTATGTATACTGGGTGGGCATTGTGCTTTTATTTCTGTATCATTTGAATTTTTTATAAGCATGTATTTTTGTAATAAAATTTTTTAAAAATCCCAGCAGTCGTGTGGAGAATGGCTTGGAGGGGAGCAAATCTAGATCAAGGGGGAATGGAACCTGAAGTTAGGGCTATGGCATTGGGATGGAGAGGAGAGGGATGGATTTGAGACATTCTTAGAGGAGCATGGTAAACAGGTCTTTATGAATAATTGGCATTTGGAAGGAAAATAGTAAGAATGGAAGGTGACTTCTAGAATTTAGTTTTGGGAGATTGGGTAGGTACATGATACTCATTCATTCATTTCATGTTTAATTATCTTTTTCTTTCCCTCTGTTTTTTTGAGCTAGGATCTTGCTATTTAGGCCATGCTGGCCTAGAAATTGTTACATAGCCCAGGCTGGCCCCAAACTTGTGATCTTCCTGCCTCAGCCTCCTGAGTGGTAGGATAACAAGCATGTTCCACCATACCTGGATCAAACCACCGATTTTTATGTAGCCATCCAACAGATGACAATACAGAAGGTACAGCTTCTGATTGCAAGGAACTTAAGACCTAGAGTGAGTAAGGTGTAAATACATCTTAATAAAAAGTGAGGAGTTCTGAATGCTGTTTATGAAATAAGGGTAGAAATGCTTCACAGATGCTTAAAAGATAGATCATGAAGTCAGATCATATGGTGCATGCCTGTCATCCCAGCATTGCAGAGGCTGAGGCTAGAAGATCACAAGTTTGTAGCCAGTTTGGGCTACACAAGACCCTATCTTAAAAAAAGATAGATGGTAAATAGGGAGGAGTTTACCAAATAAATCATAGGAAGTTTGGAGATAGGAGGACATTCTAGGTAGAGGAAAGAGAATGTTTAGGGGCATGAAACAACTTGTTTATAAATTTATAGGTAGCTCTGGATGACTGAAATATAGGGAACATATGTAGCATAATAACAAGTCTCAGGATCTTTAAATCTTTTTAGAGCAATCACTCTACGGCTGGTGGGTTGACTCAAGTGGTAGGAGCGCCTGCCTAGCAAGTGTGGAACCCTGAGTTCAAACCTCAGTGCTGCCAAAAAAAAAAAGAGCAATCACTCTGGCAGCAATATCAATATGGGTAGAATGGAGAAGATTTAATGCCAGATAATAGATGATGGAGAGCTAAACTATGACTTTAGGCACTGGCAGTAGGGATGAAATTAGAAGTATATCTTAGTGACTGGAAAGTAAGAGAGAGTTGGGACCTACGTTTCTGATAGGTGACTGAGGAAACATGTGAAGAGTCAGAAGAACATGGAGGACAGAATCTTGGTGAAGAATAATGATAAGGGGTCTCCAGAAATAGAAAATCTGCAGGGTGGTGTTTCCCAATCCAAGGAAGGGGTTTTTAAGAAATAGGGGGAAAACATACCACAGAGAAGAAAAGTAAAATCAAGCCTGAGTATCTTTTGGATTTCGCAATTAGCAGGACCCTGGTGACCTGAGCTAACAAAAGTAGTTTTAGCAGAGTAGTGAGATTGAAATACATCTAGGAACAGATGGGAACTGAGACGATGATAGAAGTTATAGACTGTTCTTTCAAGAGGCTAGACTTTGAAGAATAAAAGATGGAGTCAAGATGAAAGATCAAGGGTTGGAAATAGGGCTCAAGCAGTAGAGCACCTGCTTTGTAAGCATGAAGCCCTGAGTTCAAGCCCCAGTCCCACAAAAAAAAAAAAAAAAGATGAAAGATCAGTAAGTGTCCTAGCTGGGCGCTGGTGGCTCACGCCTATAATCCTAGCTACTTGAGAGGCTGAGAATGGGAAGATCGTGGCTCAAAGCCAAATAGTTCATTCAACCCTGTCTTCAAAATAATCAGAACAAAATGGACTGGAAGTTTGGCTCAAGCAGTACAGTGCCTGCTTTGCAAGCACAAAGTCTTGAGTTCAAACCCCAGTCCCACACACAAAAAAGTGCTTATATAGACTTAGGGGAAGAAAACAATATAGGAGGAGTTGGAAAAAAGCAAGGAAGGACTTGTGAAAACAGGAAGGGATGTTAGGCCAACATATGTGGAGAAATTTGCCTTAGGAGAATAGATGCTGTTATATGTTGGTGTATAGGTAAGGGAGATAGGAAGTTGGAGGAATTCCCACTTCTTATCTTCAGTTTCCTCTTTGATTAGGTAGGATCATCTTTGTGACAAAAGTTAATGTGGTGGGGGCTTGAATAAAGTGTTAAACTACTGAGGGAGATAATGAGAAACTGGAAAAAACCTAAAATGTCCATCGGTAGCAAAGGGGATCGAATGATAGTATGTCCAGTCAATGAAAAAATACGCAGTTTATATTAATTAACAAGGAAAGTGTATATGCTAGTGTAGAAAAATACTCTTGAGAAGTAGTCATAGAATAGGGTACGGTCTGATTTCATTTGAGGGACGACAGGGATGTAAATCTGTAAGTACATACTTACAAAATACGCAAGAAGATTGGGCAAGAAACACTTCAAATTGTTGACCCCTAGGAGTGAGATGGAATGGTAGGGGCTCACTTCACTCTAAATCCTTCTATTTAATATTAAGTGTGATTTTGTTTGTTTTGCTTTGTTTTTGGCAATACTGGTTTTTGAGGGTTTTTAGTGGTCACTGAGGAAAATGGGAGTTGTGGCTAACTAGGGATCCATCAGTGAATTACTGGGTGTTTAATGCACAATTGAGATACTGCTCATTTTAAATAGTAACAATTTATTATGTGATTTTTTTTCTCCTGTGTTTAATAACACAAGGGGGGGGGAATTTCATTTCAGTAACCCTTTCTTGACTACTCTGTACTGATCTAGTGTTGGACAAGTCCAGGCATGAATGATAAAATGCATTCTGTGTTCTATGAAATAGAGAGGAGGCATCTAAACCCAACCATAGAGCTGAAGAACACCTTTTCAGAGACGACAAGTAGGAATTAGCCAGACAGAGCACTGGGGTTTGGGAATGGATATTATTCAATGCAGAGAAAATAGCATGTACAAAGAGCATATGACTGTAAATAGTGAAGGGGTGGTTAGAGCTTGGTGCACATGGAAGGAGCGAGCAAGTACTAAAACTGTTGAATTAGTCATGGTCCAGATCTTGGAGAACTCTGAAGAACTTGGGCTTCATACTGAAAGCAATAGGGACTTATTAAAGGACTTGGATCACTTTAGTGGCAATTTAGAATGTGAATCATAGGAGAACAGGACTGGAAATGGTTGTGACAGTCATTTAGGCAAAGCATGAGTCAATTGTAAGTTAAAGACAGTGCACAGAGATTTGAGAGAATTTAAGGTATAAAATTGTAAGACATGGTGTCTGATAGATGTGTAGGATATTTCGGTCAGTTAATATTTGTTGAAACTAGTCAGTATGAAGCATCACTCTAGATGTTCTTATAGCAATAAGTAAAACATAAGTCACTTCCCTCAACTTAGAATTTAGTAGGAGAAGTAAATAAATATGTAAGAATGAGAGAAGTACTAGAAAAATAAAAGTGATGGGCCCAGAATTCTCTCAGCACTTGGGAGAATGAGGCAGGAGAATTGCAAGTTTGAGGCCAACCTGGGCTACTAAGACTTTTGTCTCAAAAATAAGTAATAAATAAAAGTAATGTGAACAGGTGTAGGATATAGGTGCTAATTTAATGGTCAGAGAAGTCCTTGCTGGGTAGCTGTCACTGGCATGTAAATATGCTATATATTACTTTGGTAAAGTTTAAATACTTTTTGGCATTATTGGGGTTTGACCACAGGTCTTTGGGCTTGCAAGGCAGGCACCATACTGCTTGAGCCACTCCTCCAGCCCAAAAACACTTTTTTTTTTTTTTGGTGGGACTAGGGTTTGAACTCAGGGTTTTGCAAGGTAGGCACTTTCCAGCCTGACTCACACCTCTAGTCCAACACTTTTTAAAATTTGAAAAGGTAGGGCTGGCAATGTTACTCAGTTGGTAGAGCACTTGAGTGAGGCCCTGGGTTCTAACCCCAGCACTGCCAAAAAAAAAAAAATTGAAAAGGTAAGCAATGAAAGAACCATAAAAGAAGGACACTTTAAAAACTGGCCAGATAAGTATATGGAAACCAGGATACAGTGTTTTGAGGGAAACCAGAGGAAGAGCGATTCAAAGGAATTGAGTGATTGGCAGTGTCTAGTACTTACAGAAAATGCAATCAAATAGGCCTAAAATTTGTCATTTGGATTTGGCATTTGGTGAGCGTGGTCAAAGCAGTTTCTTTGGAACAGTGAGTACAGAAACCACATGGCAAGTAGGTTGAAGAATTGAGTATGAGGAAGTAGAAACAGTTTCCTAGAGGTTGGTTTGATAAAAATAAGAGCTATCATTCATGGTGCCAGCCTCTCTGCAGAGCTCCACTTACCTGACCTCATCTAGTACTGAACCATCTATGAGAATAGGTGTTACTACTTTCATTTTACAAGTGAGGAAACTTGTTCAGGCTCGCACAGGGAGGGACACTAGCCTTGACTGAAGGACTACCTTTAAGGCCAGAAAGATGAATTTTATATACAAAAGGATGGGAACAAACCATGCTCCTGGGCATTTGTAGGCCCTATTAAGTTTTGTCTTTACCCTAAAATTAATGGAAAACTTTTCAGTGAGAGTCAGGTAGAGCCTGGGAAGGTAAACAATCAGTGTGAAAACAATCCAAGGTTTTTCTATTAAGTTTTTTTGTTTCCAGTTCCAGGGTCTTAAATCACGGGGTCTAAAAATTAAGAGTATTGGAAAGTACAAGCTGGATGCAGTGCTGGTGTGCATCTATAGTCCCAGCTAGAGGCTGAGGCTGGAGGATCACTTGTTACTTGAGCCCAGGAGTTTGAGGCCAGCCCGGGGCAACATAGTGAGGCCCTGTCTCAAAAACAGACCCGGGGCAGGAGTACAGCTCAGGTGGTAGGGCGCCTCCTAGCAAGCACGACACCCAGAGTTCAAACTCCAGTATCGTCAAAAAAAAAAAAACCAAAACATTTACTAAATACTCTTTAACTTTTCCCTTCCCCCTAACTTTGAAGATAAACAACTTCTGTGCTTTTTTTCAGCCCCCTTCCCCACTGTGCTTCTTACAAAACACTGATTGGTGCTAGGTATGGTGGTACGTTCCTATAATCACAGCACCAGGGAGGCTGAAGCAGGAGGATCAAAAGTTTGAGGCCAGCCTGGGTTACATAGGGAGACCCTGATTCAAAAACCAAAACACTGATTCCTAGGCACCAATTCAGCTCTCTTTACTCAGAATATCTTGGAAGAACGAGCAGTGGTTTATATATTTTATAGAGGCCCAAGTGATTCTTTTTTTATGTGTGGTGTTAGGGATTGAACCCAAGGCCTCACACATGCTACGCAAGCGTTCTACCACTGTGCTATACCTCCAGTCCTACAAATGATTCTTATTTGAGAAGTTTGGGAAACTGATCTAGCAACATTCCCAAATTAATGTTATCTTCTGTATCAACTGTTCTTAAACTTGTATGCATCAGAATGGGGCAGGGATTGCTTATCATAAATTTCAATTCCTGGACTTAGAGTGTGCATTTATAATATGCACACCTGTAATTCTGATGCAGATAGCCAATAAAGTAATTATATCAACACTTTGAGTAATAATTCTTTGGTAAACATAAGTACTTTAAGACACTCAGAATCATAATTTTTAAATTATCAGATATGTCGTAC